ATCATGTGGTACGTCAGCACTCGGGGGATGACCCCACGTGTCAACTTTGAGGGAGCCCTCTTCTCTGGCTACGCTCCTGATGGGGGCCTCTTCATGCCTGAGGAGCTCCCACAGCTGGGCAGAGAGACCCTGTGTCAATGGAGTACGCTGTCCTACCCCAGCCTGGTGAAGGAGCTGTGCGCCCTCTTCATTGGCCCTGAGCTCATGCCAAGAGATGACTTAAATGGTGAGTACTACCACTTCCACCTTCCCTCTGCTGCCAGCTTAGCCCCCCACAGAGCTGCAAATCCACCACTTTATCCCTAGGAGATCTTTAGTCACATTTCCCAAAATTTGGTATTTTTTTCAAACTTTGGAATTCCAAAGTTGGAAATATCCCAAAAGAGTTCATCGTGTCTAGCTCTCACCGCCAGCCAAAAATAATCTGCAGAGTATTTTTTCCCTTTAGTTTATTTTTAAAACATCTTTTCAAGACTAGCAGCTTAAATGTGGGGATTTTTCCTTCCTGCGTATAAGGCACACAGACCCTCAGATTGCTGTGTTATTTCCTTGAATAGTAATTCCGGAAGGGATTTTCAGTCTCCTGGACCCGCTCATCTCCAAATGTAATGTGCCTATGGATTTCCCCCAGGGATCTCATTAAAAGGCAGATTCTGATTCAGTAAGTCTGGAGTGAGCCTGAGAATCCTGCTTTCCATTCAAATGTCCAGATGATTCTAGTGCTGCTGGTCCATGGACCCAATATCTGCTATCCATAACATAATAGTGAGAGTTTGGGCCTGGGGAAGAGAAGAGGACCACTCAAAATGTGGTCTGATGACCAGCACTGATGGCATTGGCACTTATTAGAATTCTAAGATTCCTTAAGACCCACTGAACCAGAGTCTGCATTTTAAGTTGATTGATCTGCCAGTTAAAGTTTGAGGAGTGCTGTTCTAACTGCCTTGCCTCAGGTAGGGTTGTATGTAGACCCTCCCAAGATTCTGGCTTCTCAGGTGTGACATTAAGTAATGCAACCAACAAATGGCAGTATCCTGTCTTTAGGAAGGAAAATTAGAAGAGATGAGACATTGATTTGTTTGTCACATAACTTTAATTGACTCCTCTATTGGAATACGTGCTCACAAGAAATCCAGATTATGAAGATGTTTATAAAATAAAAAAAGAAAGTCTTACAGCATCATTTCTGTGGGAATCACTATGAGGACTTCATGAACACTTAGGTGCATGTCTTTCCAGACTTTTTCCTAGGATTATACAATTATATTTATGCATAGTATCATTTAGAATAAAAATTTAGGGTCCTTTTATCTTGGAGTAGAGATAAAAACTTCAAATTCATAAGTGTAAAGAGACAGAGATAACTGGAGGGAAGAGATAATAATGCCCTTCACCCACTGTCCTTGCAGATCTGATCCATCGAGCCTTCAGTAGATTCCGCCACAAAGAGGTGGTCCATCTGTCCAGGTTGAGGAATGGGCTGAACGTGTTGGAGCTGTGGCACGGCGTCACGTATGCGTTTAAGGACCTGTCCCTGTGCTGCACAGCACAGTTCCTGCAGTATTTCCTGGAGAAGAGGAAGAAGCACGTCACTGTGGTTGTAGGTGCGCAGGGAGAGCGTGAGCATTAGAGCCTCTTAGAGCCCTAATTTCCCAGTATCCGCCCACAGGATATCCTCCGCTGGTGTCACTCAGGGAGTGGGTTATTGGTTCTTCTACAGCAGGGTTCGTAACCTTTTCTCATGCCATGGATGCCTTTGACAGTCTAGTGGAGGCTATGAGATTCTCAGAATATTTTGAAACATATAAAATATATAAGATTATGTGGTACCATGTTCACAGACGCCCTGAATTCTATCCATCGATCTCCTGGAGGTTCATCGACCCCAGATTAAGTGCTAGGTTCCTCCCCTCCAAGTATTTGGTAGTAGATATTGCCTCATTTGGCAACAATGCTTTAGGGGCCTGTTCATCTCCCTTGTTCTAAACGGGAGGGTTCTTTTTTCTTCCCACCCAGGAACTTCTGGGGACACAGGGAGTGCTGCCATTGAGAGTGTT